GAAATACCCACCTACCGCGGAAAATTCAAACGCACATGCACAATTCACACCACATAGTTGGACTGATTTCCAATGGGAAGGCACTAAAACATTTAAAAACTTTTTGGCAGTTATTTTACTCTTGTACCTTGTACGTTATCCCTTCCATCCTTTTTTCCAAATCTCTCTCTTACCAATCTATTTCAACTGTAACAGGTCCTCCAATGCGAACTCAACGCCTTTTACCTAAAATACCTCCTCTGGCTCCCCCCATCCAACCCCATCAACATCCTCCGTCTCATTCTCTACTTTTTCCTCGCCCTCCCCGCAACCCGCGAAGCCTACCAATACCTTATCGACCGCCGATGTAAACGTCTCGGCATGCACGCATGGATGGCGACAGCCAATATCCTAACCGAATTACTCATTTGCATCAAATTTGGTCGAGGAGAATTCGTGGAGCCTATGCCGTGGGGAATTAAAATTGGGTGGGGATGCTTTTTGGCGGTTGTTGGGGGATATGCGATGGTCAAGTTTGGGTTGGGGAATGGGAAACAAAAGGTTGTGTAATTTTGTGTGATAGAAAATATATAATTACGTTATTTATATACATAAAGGTGGTTGGTTGTGGTTTTCTTTTTGGGGAACTAAATTCATTAGTTTGGTATGGTAAATGTCGAAAAACCACATGTTAAATTTATACACTTGCACCAAAAAATAAACCAAAAAATCTATATACAAACAAACCCAATGCAAACCCCCCAACCCTCACTCGATATCACTACTAGGTGGAGCCGGCGGATAATCCCACTCCTCCTCCTCCCCTTTCTTCTCAACCTCAACCTCCTTTTCCTCCTCAACCTCCTTTCCAAAAACCAACCGCCCCTTCCTCCTCCGCGCACACCCAACCCCCCTCTCAACCCCCTCCAAAACCCTCCAAACCCCCTCCTCCACCCTCATACCCTCATTCAAAACCATCCGTCCCGTAACAGAAACTCTATGCCCTCTAACACGCACACAATGCTCATAATACCTCTGCACAGCTTTTCCGACCATGAGAACCACATCACCATGTCGAACCGCTAACGAGAGGACTGTTTTGGGTTTTTGTGTTGGGGTGGGTTTGGTTCGAAAGAGCATTAGGGCGTCGCTTCCGAGACTTAGAGATGAGACGGGGCCGTGCACGGTGTGCTCTCCGTCATCGTGCCAATGCATTTCTTTTTCTATTCATTGTTGATCGTGTTACTTTGCATTCATTTAAAAAAAAGAAAACAAAAAATGCAACGACTTGAACATACCATCACCATCTAAACTCAAATTCTTATGACTTTGATTATAAACAGTCCCAAATTCATACACGGCATCCTGTAACCATTGAATGGCTTCCAATTCAATCCGTGTATTCTCCGTCATGGATCGAGCAGGTAAGTTGGATGCTTGTGCTGATAAAAAAAATAGTAAAGAATTCTTTCATCGTTGTGCAAAAATGTGAGTCAAGAGTTTACGTACCATAAGCCTCCCCAGAATTCAACACAAAATTCGACGTCAAAAGCCCATTCACTTTCAACCCAAAACCCTTAAGTCACCACACGTCCAAAAAAAACCACAAAAAAACTCAAAAACACTCACATCTCGATTTAACACCCATTCTCCGAAACGGTAACCTCCCCCTCTGCAACCCCTCATAAACCCCATCAACATCCTCCCGATTTCCTGCCAAAAAATGATGTACATGTCCCCCCTCTGGAAACACATAGACCATTCGTTCCCATCCCCCAAATCGAGGAACATGGTTAGGTATGCGTTCAAGGTATCCCCGGATGTTACTGCTGGGTTTAAATGAGCGGCAGCCGTATTGTTCCGTTCGGGAGGGTGGGAGGTGTCGGATGGTTGTGCGTGTGTAGATTGGGATGGGAATCTCTATCGTATGCTAAATTACCATGATGTCCAAAAAACAAAATATCAACATTTTGCACACAAAAAAAAAGGCATAAACGAAAAAAGAAACTTGCCTGACACCCCTCACAAACCCACTTGTAAACCCACACCCGTCGTGAAATCCTTCCACACCGATCACACCACATCCCTACTGACCGCCTCCCACATTGTTCCGGTGTCGGCTGTAATGGAATCACTGATCGTACTGGTAGACTAAATCCACCAAACACAACAACCATAAACACACAAGAACGATTCGCACATGCACAAACAAACAAACAAACATACCCATCAGGTAAACTCGGATCCAAAAACCCCGATCGAAGAACCAAATCTCCAGGAGTGGCATACCCACCTTCCACATCCACCTTTAAAAAAAAAAACCAAAAAAAAATCAACCAAAAAAAAAAAGCCCAATAATTCCTTCCATGCAACAAAGACTCCAATTTACCTTTCCAAAAACAACTTTACCACTCAAACCCTCAAAACAACAATCCCCAACATCATAAAACCCACGGCGACGTCCCCTCCCACCACTCTTTAACACACGTAACAGGCTCTACATCTTTTAGGGAAGGGACCCGTTCAAAGCTTGACAATGCCATAAAATGTTCCCTGATTTACGAACCCAACTGCCCAAAAAAAAATCCCAAAAAAACATTACCAAAAAAAACAAAAACACCACCACCATCAAAAAAAAAAAACTCGCAAAACTCACCTCAAAACCGAAACTTGAAACCGAACATTCCCACCAACATCCTCCCCCCCCAAACATGCGTAACAACAAAATACCCCAAAACAACAAACCCAATTTCATCCGGTTCTGATTTTCGAACACACGATACTCTTTACCCACAATCACCATAACATGTTGTTTTAATCGTTGAGCAGCTAATAATCCCGCAACATTCTTGTCGGTTGCGCTTTGGGATCCATTGATTGTGTATCAGAGGGAGTCAAGGTTTTTTCCCCGCCAGCGTGCGTGATG